AACACCAAATGGATTCTTTTTTTTTTTTAAGATTTTATTTATGCATTTGAGACACAGAGATACAGAGAGAGAGAGAGAGAGCATGAGCAGGGAGAGAGGCAGAGGGAGAGGGAGAAGCAGGCTCCCCGCTGAGCCAGGAGCCCAATGTGGGGCTGGATCCTAGGACCCTGGGATCATGACCTGAGCCAAAGGCAGACGCTTAACCATCTGAGCCACCCAGGCGCCCCTGGATTCTTTTTTTTTTTAAGATTTTATTTATTTATTTGACAGAGAGAGAGACAGCGAGAGAGGGAACACAAACAGGGGGAGTGGGAGAGGGAGAAGCAGGCTTCCCACTGAGCAGGGAGCCTGACGTGGGGCTCGATCCCAGGACCCTGGGACCATGACCCGAGCCGAAGGCAGATGTTTAACGACTGAGCCACCCAGGCACCCCTATATATTTTAGAAAATGTATTTAAAGAGTAAGTCTTCTCTCCGAGTTCAAGAAAAACAGTAGAATGATAAATTTCATTTCTGGAAAAGATTGTCAACTGTGAGCAAACTGAAGTTTTGGGGAATGGGGGAAAGTTGCTGTCTCCTGGGGGTACAGGGGTTGCTGGTCTGGGAGGGAGGGACAGACGCCCATGACTTCCGCTGCATTCAGTTTATTTTACAACTATTTACCGTGCGCTCACTGTGGTGCCAGGCCTGTTCCAGTGCTGGGAATACAGCAGGGAACCAGACAGATAAGAGGCCTACCCTGAAAATAAGTAGGCTGGGCACAACCAGTGAACTTCTAGAGACAAAGCAGTCCCGAGGCAGTGGAGCTTTCCAAACATACAGAGCAGCTGAATTGAGGTGATTCCACTGTGGGGACCGGGCAGGTTCCCCCTTTGGATCCTGATTCTTCTACCGCCACCCTGGCCCTAGCCACCCCACCCAAACCTCTGCAGTTGCCCCAAGGGAAGGGGTACAGTGAGAAGCACAGGCAGCGGTAAGAGGATGAAAACCCGCTGGTGCCAATGCTTAGCCTCAGACAGGTGGGCGAGGGGACTATAAAACACTCCCCGGGGCGCCTGGGTGGCTCAGATGGTTAAGCGTTGCCTTCGGCTCAGGTCATGATCCCAGGATCCTGGGATCGAGTCCCGCATCGGGCTCCCTGCTCAGCGGGGAGCCTGCTTCTCCCTCTGCCTCTCTCCCTCTCTCTCTCTGTCTATCTGTCTCTTATGAATAAATAAATAAATAAATAATCTTTAAAAAAAAAAAAAAACCACTCCCAACTGTGCTCAGACAAGAGGTGGCCCCTTCAGAGAGTATCCTTGTTTTTAGACACAACAGTACTTCATACCCTCAATTTGATGGTGAATTTTCAGGCTTTGGCGTAAGATTGTTCTGGGTTTTTTCCCTTTTACTCTTCTGTATTGTGAAAGCGAACACATTTAGAAAAAATATGTAAAATGTCAGCGTACAGTTAACAAAGATTTTTTTTTAAGATATTTATTTGAGAGAAAGAGTGAGCAAGAGAGAGAGAGAGAGAGCACAAGTGGGGGGAAGAGGGAGAGGGAGAAGCAGGCTTCCCGCTGAGCAGGGAGCACAATACTGGGCTCGATCCCAGGACCCTGGGATCATGACCTGAGCCGAAGGCAGACACTTAACCGACTGAGCCACCCAGGCGCCCCCAGTTAACAAAGAATTATAAAGCAAATTCCCATCCATGTGAACACTTAAGAAATAAAATATTGCCAGTAGTCCCAGAAACCAGCCCCCTCCATAGGCCTTCCCAACCTCGGCCCTTCTCCTGGCCTTTGTAATGATCTCTTCCTTGCTTTTCTTTTACTACTGATGTATGCATGGAATTTGTTTTATTCATCTGTTTGGTAGCTATAAATCATTTTAGGTCATGTCTGATTAACAAGGTAGAAGATCAGGCTGGGTAATGCCATTTTTATTAAAAAAAAAAAAAAAAGTCGGATGCCTGGGTGGCTCAGTCATTGAGCGTCTGCCTTCGGCTCAGGTCATGATCCCAGGGTCCTGGGATTGAGCCACACATCGGGCTCCCTGCTCCGCGGGGAGCCTGCTTCTCCCTCTCCCACTCCCCTTGCTTGTGTTCCCTCTCTCACTGTCTCGCTCTCTCTGTCAAATCAATCAATCAATCAATCAATCAATCTTTAACAAAAAATAAAAATAAAAAAGTCCTGTGCTGTAAAGCAATAAGGATGATATTCTTCTGTTTCACGTGAACTAGGCACATTGGAAAAAATCCCCAAACTGTCGTGTACTAACAGCCTGCTGTAAGGACTATGGTCATTTGAACATCTTCACTCTGCTTCATCTGTTCGTCTGTGGATTTGGTTAGTTCAGAGTCCCACCTAGTGTATAGCCTTGCCCTGTTAAACCACATTTTTCCAACTTTTACCTGTTTTGTTTTTTTATTCCAAGTGGCCCTTAGTGTTCATCCCCTGGAAATATTTGTGAGGAAGGCCTGCGCTCACTGTTTGCCCTAGGCCCCCCTACAACCCCAGTGTCCCCTGCATGAGCAGCTTCCTGCAATAGGAGAGTGGCGTTATGTTCTAGTGGAAATGCTGTGAACATTGGAAAATTTTCCCCTTCTGGTTTTGTTCCTAAGAATGTATTACTGTCTGCCTAGAATGGTGCAGGTCTGACCTTCCCTGCGAACGGAAGGATGGGCGAGGTGACCATTTCCAACTTTGTAATGACCTCCTCCAGTCCTTCTTGGGTAGTGTCAAATCCTTCTCCATTTTTATATTAGAAAAGGGAACCAAATAATTAATTGTTTCAAATAATTGTTTAGAATAGAAATGTTAACGTGAGCTTGCTTGGCCAATGGTCAGGTATTGCCAAGGTCTCATATGAATGGTTGGTGGGAACGTTTTATTTTATTTTATTTTATTTTATTTTATTTTATTTTATTTTATTTTATTTTATTTTATTTTATTTTAAGATTTTATTTATTTATTTGACAGAGAGAGACACAGCAAGAGAAGGAACACAAGCAGGGGGAGTGGGAGAGGGAGAAGCAGGCTTCCCGCCGAGCAGGGAGCCCGATGCGGGGCTCGATCCCAGGACTCCGGGATCATGATGTGAGCCGAAGGCAGATGCTTAGCAACTGAGCCACCCAGGCGCCCCTGGTGGGAACATTTTCATCAGGCCAAGGTCATAGTTTAAGTCCCCCATGGGGTTGGTTGGACTAAACTCTAAATCAACTTATGGTAGACAAAATATAAAACTAGAGAGGGACGCCTGGGTGGCTCAGTCAGTTAAGCGGCTGCCTTCAGCTCAGGTCATGATCCCAGGGTCCTGGGATCGAGTCCCGCATCGGGCCCCCTGCTCAGCGGGGAGCCTGCTTCTCCCTCTCCCTCTGCGTGCCGCTGCCCCTGCTTGTTCGTGCTCTCTCTCTGACAAGTAAATAAATAAATCTTTAAAAAAATAAAACTAGATAAAAAACTCTGAAAACTTACTGCACTATGAAGTGATAATGACATGGAAGGTTAAAAATTGAAAGTAATTTAAAAGCCCTTTATCATCTTACTTTATTTTTTTAAGATTTAATTTATTTATTAGAGCAAGTGCACATGTGCACAAGTGGGGGAGGGGCAGAGGGAGAGGGAGAAGCAAACCCCCCCACCCCACCCCTGCTGAGCAGGAAACCCAACGCAGGACTCTGGGATCATGACTGAATGGAAGGCAGAGCTTAACCGACTGAGCCACCTGGGCGCCCCTACCATCTTACTTTAAATGGATAATAGGGGCCCCCCCGGTGGCTCAGTTGGTTAAGAGTCGGCCTCAGCTCAGGTCATGATCCCAGGGTCCTGGGATCGAGTCCCACATCGGGCTCCCTACTCAGTGGGGAGTCTGCTTCTCTCTCTGTCAAAGAAATAAATAAAATCTTTAAAAATAAATAAATAAAGATAAATGGATAACAGATTTTTTTAGAGCTAAAAGGAACTTGCCAGTCCTTAAACATCATCCGATTCATCTTCATTTATAGAAAAGAAGCACATACCCATTAAAACATCAGATTAATTTTTCTAATAGTATTTTCCTCAGACTAATATTCAGTTGAAATTACATTTCCCAATTACACGTGATGTTGACATGACGTGAATGAGAGACATACCGGTGGCGGGCTGACACATACACAGCAAGCAGTGAGTGCTGACAGTGGGTTTGGGGTTGGCACTTGGGCCCTGACCAGGTGCTCAGAGTCCGTGCAGACCCCACATAGGATCTGATAGTCGGAGTTATAATCCTTGCAGGCGTGATGGAAAATTACTGGGGATAGAAACTATTAGGGATAGAAACTGAGTTTCTGGCTCAGCCTTTGCATCTGAGCACCACCAACACAGCAGTTCCAGGGGCAAGAAAGCAGTCCGGTATCAACTCAGCCTCCCTATGAATGGCGTCCAGAAAATTTTTTTTTTTTTAAAGATTTTATTTATTTGACAGAGAGAAACACAGCGAAAGAGGGAACACAAGCAGGGGGAATGGGAGAGGGAGAAGCAGGCTTCCCGCCGAGCAGAGAGCCTGATGCGGGGCTCGATCCCAGGACGCTGGGATCATGACCCTAGCCGAAGGCAGACGCTCAACGACTGAGCCACCCAGGCGCCCCGACCCATAGATTCTTTTTTTTTTTTAAGATTTTATTTATTTGTGAGAGAATGAGAGACAGAGAGCATGAGAGGGAGGAGAGTCAGAGGGAGAAGCAGACTCCCCGCCGAGCAGGGAGCCCAATGTGGGACTCGATCCCGGGACTCCGGGATCATGACCTGAGCCGAAGGCAGTCGCTCAACCAGCTGAGCCACCCAGGCGCCCGACCCATAGATTCTTAAAGGGTGCTCTTTGCAATCCTCCCAGTGTGATAGGAGAGTAAAGTAAAATTCTTATTTCGCTTTGTAGTCTAACCTGAAGGTGATGCCAGGTAGGCATTAACAGGCTTGATTGGTGTTTTGAAAGCTTTTAGTCATGAAATTAACTTCTCATCTTGGCCATATTTTTCACAGGCCCAGAAAAAAAGTTTGAATCAGACTTCCCCCATTGCTGCTTCCAAGACCACGGATGGCCTGCGGCAGACGCAGATCCCTGGCCTCCTGAACACCACACTGCCAGGTCAGGAGCCTTTGTTGTAAGCTCCCTTCCACTGTCCCCTGTGTCCCCAAACCCATCCCTCATCCTGCTGCAACCTTTCCCATTCCACCTCATGCCCACTCTGACCTTGCCTCCTGTATCTTTTCTACCAAATAACAGACCGTGTGGCGTCTGTACCTCCCTCTTATGTACTACTAAGAAAAAAAAAAAAGCACTTCTAATTAAATTATGACACACTAAATTATATGGGAAAAATGTGCTGCTTAGAAACAATAAAATCTAGTACCATATGGCACAAGTGACTTTGTAACTATCCTCATGTCCCTTTATTTATGTATATTTGGAATCCCCCCAAGACTAAAAATATTGTGGGCTATGTCTTCCATTTCTTCTAAAGCTTTGAATATCTGCACTGCTCAATAAATACTAGAAAAGACAAAAGCAGGAACACTCCTAATCAGAACACTCCTAATCAACACTCCTAATCAGCCCTCCCCCCCATTTGAGCCTCCATCCCTTAATTTATGAGCCTTTTGGGGGTTCGGTAATACTGACAGATTACTGGTTTGAGGCTTATTCCTTAGACCTTAGATAATTTGAAACTGTAGCATTGGCAGCTTTTCTTTACTACCATTTATTTATGTATTTGTTTCTATTTACTATACCTAAATAGGCTTTACTAATCCTGACCTCTGCCCCTAGAGCTTTTGTAGATGAATGTACCTCCTGCTCTCCTCCCTCAGAGCAAGCATCCATGATAAGGAAATCCCTTTCAGAATGGTCAGTAATCCATATACATTGGACTCTATGGGTTATATAAGAGGCTTGATTGACTGTTTCTGTTGTCTTATGTGTTCATTCTAATAGGGCAGGATTCTGGAAGCAAAGTTATGCCGGTGTCCTTAGGAACCACACAGCCACAGCAGGAAAAAGTAGTTGGATCATCTCCTGGCCAGCCAGCTGTGCAGGTAGAAGACAGTTTGTATAGCTGCTTCTTAAGGTTGAGCATAATTGAGAGAAAATGTAGTCATGTCATCTTCAGCTTGGTAGTTGCTGCCTGGCATCATCTGCCCACAAAAGTGTGCTCACTGAAGACCTTCCCTGCAGCCAGGCCGTGTTATGTTCATGTTTGTGGGATTAATGTGTCTACTCTATTTCTCACATTACAACACTGTCATTTCCTCATGAATTAATACTATACTAGCAGCCAATACATAGAAGGTACTCAAAAAAGTGTAGTTTACTGCTGATCACTCATTATCGTAGCCAAAGTGGATCTGTTCCTCTTGTTTTTTTTTAATTAATTTATTTATTTGAGAAAGACAGCAACAGAGCACGCACATGTGAGTGGCAGGGAGCGGGGAGGGGTGGCAGAGGAAATGAATCTCAAGCAGACTCCCCACTGAGCCCCGAGCCCTACGTGGGGCTCGATCTCATGACCCTGAGATCATGATCTGAGCAGAAATCAAGAGTTGGCTGCTTAACTCACTGAGCCACCCAGGTGCCCCTGGATCTGTTCATCCTAGTTATACTGAGAGGTTTCTTTTTTTTAAAGATTTTATCTATTGGAATGCCTGGGTGGCTCAGTCGGTTAAGTGTCTGCCTTTGGCTTAGGTCATAATCCCAGGGTCCTGGGGTCAAGCCCTGCATCGGGCTCCCTGCTTGGTGGGGAGTGTGCTTCTCCCTCTCCCTCTGACCCTCCCCCTGATTGTACTCTCTGTCTCTGTCAAATCTTTATAATACATACATACATAAAATCTTAAAAAAAAAAAAAAAGATTTTTATCTATTTGAGAGAGAAAGTGAGTGTATGGGGCAGGGGGGACGGGTAAAGGGACAAGCAGACTCCCTGCCTCCCCATTGAGCATGGAGCCCAACTCGGGGCTCCATCCCAGGACCCCGAGATCATGACCTGAGCCTAAGTCAGACACTCAACCCACTGAGCCACCCAGGTGCCCCTATACTGAGAGTTTTTTTATTTTGCTGCTGTAGCAACCAGGAATGTTATGAAATATCCAGTCCCTGTGGTCTTTTAACCCAACCACTGATCTGAAAAGGAAGGAAAAAAATCTTGTTTTCAGCTTACCGAGCCCTTAGTTTCTTCTTCATCAAACACCAATGCATAGTTTAATGAAACTTGTTATAGTCTGGGCCTGCCTAGAATACCCAGTGAAGGGTCTGGTTCAGTTCTCAGGTTCTGACTTAAGTCGTGTTTGTGTCCTTAACATTGATATAAGAAGTGCTACTGTGGGTGCCTGGCTGTTTCAGTTGGTAGAGCATGCGACTCTTGATCTCAGGGTTGTGCGTTTAGAGATTACTTAAAGGAGAAAAGGAAGAAAGAAAGAGATTCCCTACTAGATGACACACCTAGACTGTAACAGCAACTGAATTTTCATATGTTCATGGAGTTAGCACCCACAAAATATACTTCTCCAAAAATCTAATGATACGTTTAGAGAGTTGGGGTTTCAGGCTTTAAATACAAGCTGAGTCCTTCCAAGGAACTGATAGCACAGCTTTCCATGATCTTGAACACAGTGTGACTTTGCTACATGGGTCTATGGCCTTGCTTGTTTTATTTTTTAGCAGGACACCTTCTACATTCTTAGACTATGCTCTTGATAAGGAGTGGAAAATATTCACAACATAGTGACCTTTACGTGTAACTGTATTCTGCATATTTTTTCTACAGAAGGGAGTAATAAGAGGTGTGTTTTGTCTTTAGGTGGATAGTCACTCAGGAGGACAAAAGCGACCTGCTGCAAAACAGCTAACCAAAGGAGCTTTGTGAGTGACCCCTGGAAATGACTCATTTTGAACATTTCTCTAGGTTCCTAACCTTCAATAACTATACAACAGAAGTCAGGTTATAATAATATATGTAATATTTTTTAAAATATGCTTTGAAAATAATTTCCTACAGTTTGCTTCTATTAGGACCCATAAATACAGTGACCCTTGAACAACATGGATTTGAACTCTGCAGGTCTGCTTATATGCAGATGTTTTCTGATAAATACAGCGCAGCACTGTAAATGTATTTTCTCTTCCTTATGAGTTTCTTAATGACATTTTTCTTAGCTTCCTTTTTTGTAAGCATACAGTATATAATACATGTACTATACAAAATATGTATTAGTCAACTATGTAATCAATAAGGCTTCCAGTCAACAGGAGACTCTTGGTAAAGTTTTGGAAAAGTCAAGTTATATACTGATATCTGACTGTGCGGGGAGTCCGTGCCCCCAACCCCCTCATGTTGTTGAAGGATCAGCTGTGTACCAAATATAGTTTGAGTCTACTGTTTGCTCTTTTGTTCTCAAGGAGAATAGTTCTCTGTCTTTTTAGCATACCACATACCCTTTGACCGGCCAAAGGGTCTCTGAGAAGAAGCGTGGTTTGATAAACTCCTGTGTTTGGAACAGAAATATTAGCATAAGCTTAGTTGGCCAATGGTCAGGCATTGCCAAGATCTGTGTGAGCACCCCCACGTGAGGGGTTGGTGGGAACACCGTGGTTTTGAGGTCAGGGTCATAGTGTGAGCCCCCTGCAGAGACAGTTCGACCAAACTCTACTCCCACCATGGTGTACAAAGTATAAAACTGAAGAAAACACAGAACCACTGTCCTGCGAATAATAACGTTCCTGTAGATCTTATTTTCTTTGCACGCAAATAGCAATCATGATTAGGTTTCCTTCCATGGATCTCCACTGACACTGGCAATTTCTCTTTTAAAGCATTCTCCAGCAGTTACAGAGAGACCAAGCCCACGCTGTGACACCTGACAAAAGTCAGTTCCGATCACTGAGTGAGGCGGTGCAGAGGCTCCTCTCCTACCACGTGTGCCAGGGCTCCATGCCCACGGAGCAAGACCTGAAGAAAGGTAAACAGGCTGCCGCCCCAGAGCGCCCCTGTCACACCACGCACCCTCCTATGGATGCCCCACAGGAGAGCGAGAGCCCCGGGGCTCGCAGAGAGTAGTCGTGTTCGCGTTTTTCATCATAGACCTAACTCGTTCCCAATTTACTCAGTTTCCTGGTCCCTCTTTAGAAGACTTACTCTTCTCAATATTCGGTGAGGGGATACCCAAATGTCAGAGTATTTTATTGACCAATTCGGGGACACTGAACCCAAAGCACTGTTTGGACGGCTGGCTGCAGATGGATGGCCCTGAAGGCAGTGCTCTACACAGTGATTTCTCGTGTTTGGGCAGAATGCACCCCTTTAGCTGCTACCAGCAGTTTTATTTGTTTTGTTTTGTTTTTGCTACCAGCAGTTTTATGAATGAGATAGATACTTTAGCCCCCAAAAGCATTCTTCGAGCTCCAAAGTGAGTCTAGGGCATTGCTGTATGTCAAGAAACTGGCAAAAATGCTAAGGATAATAAGGGCCCCTTTATGCCCACTTGGAATTCTGCCCGTTCTGAGGCCTGGCCCAGCCACCCCTCCCAGCTGTGCCGCTTAGTTCTACCCTCCTTCCCCCCAGCCCGTTCCCAAGCCTGGGCTCCATCAGTTCCCCTCCGCTGCTTTCAGCCCTCCCGCAGCTGCCCCCGGCCGTGCTGACCTGGCTTCGGTCTCCAGTCCCCTGGGAGCTTCCCTGGGCGGTCCAGGGAGTAGGGTCCAGGTCCAGCATGACACAGGGATGCGAAGACTCGGAGTGACTAGAAAATGCAAAACCTTTGGAGACAGGCAGGCAAAGGATGGAGCCACAGCACTGTGACCTGCAAGATGTCATGAACTAGTTTGTGTCCTTACATAAAACCGGTCTGCCCAGCCCAGACTGTGGGACTTCCTTGTTCAATTGTTTCAGTTTTTCATACCATTGGAAGGGAGTGGAGGTTTGACCATCTAGACCAACAGATCCTTCTCTGTTCATTGATATTTATTGCATGTCTGTGCTATATGGTTTTCTTTTATAGGTGATGTTAAAAGTATTCTGGTTTTGGCCTCCTAATTAAAGTTAAAATAAGCTAGCATTGGGATGAGTTGCCCAGTCACCTAACAGTGGACAGTGAGGGAAAGTGCAGAAACACGTTTAAACAAGGAAAGCTAACCTAAGAAGAGAAGACTGTCACAGGCAAGACATGTTTGAGTAATGGAAGAGTAATGCATTTCAGTCCTGAGAAAGAAAAAGACCTAGTGAGTGATTTGCACTCTCTTACCATTTTCTCTCTCTCTCTCTCTTTTTTTAAAGTCGACAATGAATTTGAAACAGTTGCCACTCAGCTCCTAAAAAGGACCCAAGCTATGCTTAACAAATACAGATGCCTGCTTCTAGAAGATGCCATGGTAAAATTCATGCTACCAAGCATATTTGTTTTTTAAAACCCCACAGGTCACAGCTAGTAATTCAGAGAGAAAACTTCAGGGAATTACATTCTCCCAACATAATCTCAAAGGCACAGATAGTGAAGATTGTAGAAAACCTGACTGGTACTCCTGACACTTGGCATTCGCTGCACTTGACATGTTCGCTCACACCTAATGCGTGCTCTGGTTCTCCTGGTTCCAAGTGAGGAAACCAGGACTTTGGTTAAGTAATTTGCCTAATATCCTGTATCAGTTTGGAGAGCAATTAGCAAAGCTAGGGGACAGACCAGGACTGTCTGAGACCCCAGCCCCCATTGCGCACTCCGATGCTGTCACCTGCCTCTCACCAGCCCAGAAGTGCGGGGAAGATGGTTCAGAGTAACGTCTGAAAAGGCCAGGTGATGACAAACGTTAAAATTAGCTTTATCTTGTTTTAAACTGAGTGATCATTAACATGCCATAAAGTTCATGCATGATGTAAAAATGTACAACTTGATGGTTTTTAGTATGTTCATAAGGTTGTGCAACCATCAACCACTGTCTAATTCCAGAACGGTTTCATCACTCCAAACAGAAACTAAACTTAGTTTTAAAGCACTGGTTAATTAGAGACAGAAGCTACTTCAGGAAATGATAGGAAGACTAAACCTATTCTGAGATTTTAGAAGCAATTCTGAAATCTTACAGGCTTTCACCTATAAATTGGCCTCTTACAAGCAGTTTCCAATTTAAGTTCAACTTTGAAATGTACCTTGGGAGCTTAGTTGAATTATATTACATACATATACAATACAGTATAAAATGTGTGTGTGTGTGTGTGTGTTAAATACATATATATTTACCTATTTATATTTACTTAAAATTATGCCTCCAAAATTTGGAATAGTTGTTCTTACATTGCCAGCCATTTCGGAAAAAAAAATGCTGAGATATCAAAAAGACTTAACTCTTACCACTTTTGAGGAAAGGACCACTTATTTCCTCAAGTTATCTTATCTCTGCTATGAATTTTCATGTTAAATAAGACTCACAAATATAATTTAAGCTTCGATACTGTAGAGCAAAAAATAATTTTAAGGAAAGCCTTACTAAAAAACACACTGAAAGTATAGTAGAATATGAAGAAACATGTCATCCTAATGAAAAGATTTCTAACATACTGTTAAGCAGAAGGGGGAAATAAGACAGAACAGTGTGTACAGTTGCTACCATTTGCGTGCAGAAATAAACCAAGAAGAACGTCAGTGCATGCGTGTGCATAAAATCACTCTGCAAGAGTTGATTCAACTGCTAGACAGGTGCCTGCAGAGACAGGCAGAGGAAGCAAAGAAGGCAGGCTTAGTTTTCACATCCTCTCTAGAAATCAGTGTAAATCACCTTTTCCCCAAAAATACAGTTTTAAAAAATGCATCCCTACGTGACAAGGATAAATGGGACTAAATGGGACGATACTAGAACCTAGACACCAAATTTTCAGGTCCGGTTGGTTCGTTTGTTTCAAAGATGCAGTGGGATGTTTGCACTTTGTTAAAAGGCATCTGAAATGACCAGACTCTCGTTTTCAGCGGATCAACCCCTCTGCTGAAATGGTGATGATCGACAGGATGTTCAACCAGGAGGAAAGAGCTTCTCTGTCCCGAGACAAGCGTCTGGCACTTGTAGATCCTGGTAAGAAATGTCAGAGGAAGAGTACAGGAGAGGTGCTGCCAGGGTTCCGGGCCGTGGGCCTGTGGGGAGTCTCTCTGAACCACCGCTGGGTATGAAACCTGAAGGTACAGAATGCATTCTGGGGAGAAAAAACCCAGAGTAAGAGCAGTGCGTGAATACTGTGAGAAGGTCCATAGTCTAGAAAATCCAAGCTGGAATTCCACATTCGTTATGTGATTGTGTTTCCCCATTATAAACGTAAACTTCTCATTCTTTCTCTATTTCTTGAGAACTAAATTATTTTTTTTTAAGATTTTATTTATTTATTTGATAGAGAGAGAGAGACAGCAGGAGAGGGAACACAAGCAGGGGGAGTGGAAGCAGGAGAAGCAGGCTTCTGGCTGAGCAGGAGCCCGATGTGGGGCTCGATCCCAGGACCCTGGGATCATGACCTGAGCCAAAGGCAGCCGCTTAACGACTGAGCCACCCAGGCGCCCAATGACTGAGCCACCCAGGCGCCCCTAGAGAACTAAATTAAGTCAGAAGCCTTCCCAGAAGCATTTAAGCCTCAGCAAATTATCAAGTTATCTTACCATGTGCAAGGCATCGTTAGGGGCCCTGCCTGCAAGCTCGTAAATTAAGATGCTCCAGTAAGTACCTTTCTTTCACCCCGCAGTTTCCCACCGACTGCACTGAAGGGCAGGAAGAAATTTTCCTCCGGCCAAGGTTTTTCTAGCTGGACAAATTAAATTTACATGAGACATATTAACAGGAGAGAAAAATGTTTTATTACATGTGTACAGAGGCCCAGTAATGAAACTGAAACCAAAGAATGACCAAGGCAGGCAGTTTTTATACTTTTTAGACAAAGAGGCAATAAATCTATGAGGAATTGACAGGATAAAGAAGACTTAACTCTGGGAGCTTCAGTTAGTAAGGAATTCTAAACAGAATTTGGGCTGGAGTAGTAAATTAGTGAAAAGTAACAAGTACTGTTTCTACGCCTTCTGGGCCCTGAATTCCCTAGTTCTGGTGATAAGGATGTCCCTCTATCTCCTGGTACAGGGAGGGTACTTTTCATGTGGGAGATTTATTTCCTGCTCTCAGGGGGGACAGAGGAGGGTCTAAGTGTCCTTCTTGCAACGTCTGGGTTTTTGTTTGTTTTCGTGCTGTTGTGTTTTTTTGAGAGAGAGAGAGAGAGAGCGTGCGCGCATGTGCCTGGGGAGGGGCGGTGGGCAGAGGAGAAAGAATCCTAAGCAGGCTCCATGTTCAGGGTGCCCCAACACATTCTGCCTTTTAAAAATGAATCCTCAGGGTACCTGGGTGGCTCAGTTGGTTGAGCATCTGCCTTCGGCTTGGGTCGTGATCTCGTGGTCCTGGGGTGGTCCTGGGATGGAGTCCTGAATCAGGCTTCCTGCTCAGTGGGGAGTCTGCTTCTCTCTCTCACTCTTCCTCTGTGTGCTCTCCCTCTCTCTCTTTCTCTCTCAAATAAATAAAATATTTTTAAAATAAATTAAAAATAAATTAAAATTAAAAAATAAAAATAAAACTGAATCCTCCTGGGGCGCCTGAATGGCTCAGATTGAACCCCGTGTAGGGCTCCCCACTCAGCAGGGAGTCTGCTTCTCCCTCTCCTTCTCCCAGTGTCCCTCCCACCACTTATGCTGTCTCTCAAATAAATAAATAAAATATTTTTAAAAATAAAAATAGAGACGGCTGGGTGGCTCAGTCAGCTAAGCATCTGCTTTTGGCTCAGGTCATGATCCCGGGGTCCTGGGATCAAGCCCTGCATGGGGCTCCCTGCTCAGTGGGGAGCCTGCTTCTCCCTCTGACCCTCCCCCTGCTCGTGCTTTCTCTCTCTCTCTCTCTCAAATAAATAAATAAATAAATAAATAAATAAATAAATAAATAAATAAATAAATATCTTTAAAAAAAAATCCTCCTTGGGATGCCTGAGTGGCTCAGTCCATTGAGCGTCTGCCTTCAGCTAGGGTCATGATCCCAGGGTCCTGGGATGGAGCCCCGCATTGGGCTCCTTGCTCAGCGGGGAGCCTGCTTTTCCCTCTGCCTGCCGTTCCCCCTGCTCGTGCTCTCTCTCTCTAACAAATAAATAACTAAAAAAAACTTTAAAAAAAAATCCTCCTTTTTTCTGGCCTCTAAAATTTTTTTAAATCAAATAACATTATAACAATTCGTGGAGTATAAATTTTACCCATACTTGCACCATCCTATAAACGAAAAGTTTTTATTTCTCCCAGTTTTCTTCCAGTTCTGGTTCCCATTTGCATACATCATTTATGTATACTTATAATCATATGCTAGATATGATTTTGTTCTAATTTTCTTCCATTTAACACATCTGAAGTTCTTATCATTTTCTAGTCTTCAAAATAATAATTTTTAGGGCGCCTGAGTGGCTCAGTTGGTTAAGCGACTGCCTTCGGCTCAGGTCATGATCCTGGAGTCCCTGGATCGAGTCCCGCATCGGGCTCCCTGCTCGGCAGGGAGTCTGCTTCTCCCTCTGACCCTCCCGACCCTCCCCCCTCTCATGCTCTCTCTCTGTCTCTCTCTCTCAAATAAATAAATAAAATCTTTAAAAAAAAAAATAATAATAATAATAATAATAATTTTTAATACATTAATTTGAGAATTTAGCTAAACTATTCCCCTAGGGATGCCTGGGTGGCTCATTCGGTTAAGCGTCTGCCTTCAGCTCAGGTCATGATCCCAGGGTTCTGGGATCGAGTCCTGCGTCGGGCTCCTTGCTCAGCGGGGAGCCTGCTTCTCCCTCTGCCTGCTCATGCTTTCTCTCCCTCTCCCTCTCTCTGACAAATAAATAAATAAATCTTTAATAAAATAAATAAATAAATAAATAAAAGGGGCTCCTGGCTGGCTCAGTCGTTGAGCGTCTGCCTTTGGCTCAGGTCATGGTCCCAGGGTCCTGGGATGGAGCCCCGCATTGGGCTCCCTGCTCAGCAGGAAGCCTGCTTCTCCCTCTCCCACTCCCCCTGCTTGTGTTCCCTCTCTCGCTGTCTCTCTCTGTCAAATGGATAAATAAAATCTTTTAAAAAATTTTTTTAATTTAAAAAAAAAATAAACCATCCCCCTACTGTTAGACTTTTATTTTCCAGTGGCTTTATTTCCATTCCCCTAACTCCTTTTCTGATTCTTGATAAATATCAAGATTCTGCCTTATGTTTCGTGTGGCTCATGAAATCCCTAAAAAGAATAAATGGTCCTTACACTTGGTCTAAAGGGAGAGTCTGAAAGAAATGCTATGTAGCTAGGAGAATCCACAACTCTTTCCAAAAAGGAAGAGAATGATGTAGGATATATTTCTGTCCCTTTTTCCTAGACCCTGCAATCTCCTATTGCCTTATGATGAATTGGGCGTATGGATAAAGCCTCATACATTGTCACAGCTCCCCAGACATGAGTGTCCCGAGGACACGGATGTGCTTCATCCCCCTGTGTATTGTGCCCGCACAGCCGGTGTTTGTGGGATGGAGTCTTCTTTTTAGATGTCAAGGCTGTGTCCCCTACATCTCACATTTTGTGATTTGGTGAAGGAATTGACATTTTGGTTTTACAGATGTCTTCAAAGCCCTGTTTCACCTTTTCTGCCCTTCTGTAACAGCAGGCTGCCTCTGTGCCCTCCACCTCTCAAATCCCCCTAACATTTCTCTTGCCATCCTGGGCTCCTCAAGCCTGGCACAGTGCAGGGCTCACTCACAGACCCGGTTACTCCACACGCCATTGTCCTTCCAAGAGATATCATTTGACCATTTGTTTTGTGCCCCTGGCGAAGTGCAGCTTTATAACGCCTGGTCCCCTCACACGTTCTACCGGGACCGAAGTGCCATCACCCAAAGACAAGCAGTCGTGTCTACTCCCACCCCCGCCCTAAAGCCTCATTCCCGGGCCCTCTGCTCCAAGGGAGAAACCAGGCTGATACCAGCATCAAATTCCTGTTTTCAGACTGTTTCAAAGCAGCCACTGATAAAAGACTAGCTAAAGATAACACTAAGAGGGGCGCCTGGCTGGCTCAGTCGGTAGAGCATGCAACTCTTGATCTCAGGGTTGTGGGTTCAAGCCCCAGGGTTGTGGGTTCAAGCCCCAAGTGTAGCCAATACTTAAATAAATAAGTAAATAAACTTAAAAAAAAAAAAAGAACACCAAGAGAACAAGACAAAGCAGAGCTTTTGGCCCATCTGGTGTTCCCATGTGTCACCAAGCAGCTACCTTGTCAAAGATGTTAAGCTTCGCGTCTGGAAGCCCCGGCTACTGTCATAGGAAGCCCCCTCAAGCGTTGTGCACCCCCCCTCCCCCGCACGTTCCTGGACATGAAAGACTGGCTCACTGGGCTGGGCTTGCATCTGACCAACTGAGGGGTCTGTTGTAGAGCCCCCCCCCCCGCCCCCCACGTTCACGCAGTGTTCTTTTTGTTCCCATTTCCAGAGGGTTTTCAGGCTGATTTCTGTTGTTCCTTCAAACTTGATAAAGCTGCTCACGAGACGCAGTTTGGCCGGAGTGACCAGCACGGCAGTAAAGCAACCAGCTCTTTCCACCTGACGGCCAAGGCCCAGAGCCGAGACCGAGCCAGACCAGGCATGGCGGAATCCACGAATCATGACCAGTTTCATCTAGTGCCTAATCACATCGTGGTCTCCGCAGAAGGAAACATTTCTAAAAAAACTGAATGCCTCGGCAGAGCGGTGAAGTTCGACAAGGCAGGCTTAGCTCAGTACCGCAGTGCGTCCGAAGAGAAAAGCAGCCGGCGGGAGTCGGTGAAGGCCAGCGAGTGCCCTCCCGGCCCCGAAGGGCCCCGGAAAACCTCATCCCGACTGGACCACGGTTCTGACAGCAAACTCTCCAGTATCCTAGGGGATTCTCATTTGGAGATGACATGTAACAATTCCTTCCCGGACAAAACTCTGAGGAATTCTCCAAAGAATGAAGTTTTACACACAGACATCATGAAAGGGTCGGGCGAACCCCAGCCAGATCTCCAGCTCACCAAGAGTTTAGAAACAACGTTTAAGAACATCTTGGAACTGAAAAAGGCCGGGCGGCAGCCCCAGAGTGACCCCACGGTTAGCGGCTCTGTTGAGTTGGATTTCCCCAACTTTTCTCCAATGGCTTCGCAGGAAAACTGCCTGGAAAAGTTCATCCCGGACCACAGTGAAGGCATTGTAGAAACGGACTCCATTTTAGAAGCAGCTGTAAATAGTATCCTAGAGTGTTAATAGCCTCAGCCCTTCCCCGCCCCGACCCCGAGACCCCGTCCCCGAGACCCCGTCCCCGAGACCCTGCCCCAAGACCCCGCCCCGGACAAGTTACATTCTTTCCTGGCAAAAGCAAGCGGAAGTGGTCTCCTGTCTCCAGCCTGCTTGATCTGTCATCACAGGTTGTCCTTTCTGATCTCGATCCCATTCTTTGTTTCAGAGCAATACTCGTCGTGGTTACAGGGAGATCCCTTCGCGAAACGAATCCTTGTTAGAAAGCAGTCTGATAGGCCCGACACAGTTCAAGTGTTACGAAAGTGCTTAATAGTCATTTCTGTGTTTGTTTACTTGTTTTAATTTTTCAAAACAAAACACCGTAACTCGCTGAGATCACAGTACACTTGGCCCTGGGTAAAATTCTGACAATCAGAAGTCATTTGAAAAGAACAGACTTATTAAAGGAAATCAAACAGGACTGATAGAAGCTACTTTTTAAAGAATAGCCCAGCGCATCTCCAAATGTTGCCGTTTGGGGTCTGTTGTCCTTGTCGCTGGGAGGGCAGACCGCCGGGTCTTGCCCCCTCAGGCCCTCTCTGAGCTGCTCTGCCAGGGACGCCGCAAGGAAGCCCCCCCCCCCCCCCAGGCTGCCAGTAGAGCACAAGCAGGGCATTTGCAGGGTTTCCTTGCTCATCGTTCAAGTGCTTTTCTGACGTTCCCGGAGCAAAGCCTCACGCTTTCCGGCCGCTGCGCGTTAAGTTTCATCTAGGGAATGCTCTGTTCTTAGTTGCAACAGCATGACTTGAGATCATTTCATCAGGCTAAATAAAGGAAAACGGAAGCCAGTTAAGTGGCACAGTGTACAGGGGAGGCCGGGATAGAGCCTTGAGGAATATAATATGTATATATGTAAAAGCATATATATGTGAACTATTGAGAAAAAAAAAAAAAAAAACAAGCGTTTTCGCATTTCCTAATTGGGTATAGTCAACATATGCTGTATGCTTTTGTCTGTTGCTGGGTTTCTTTTCATTTAACCTCCCTGGCCCCTCTCCCACAAATAGCCAAGCATCTAAAGCACTTTCGTTCGAAAACTGTGTTGTCATTTTTCAGTTTAAACTTTAAGGGGACTTTGGCCTTGTTTATGCTTCTCGTCTGAGAACAGTAGTCACCCCCCCACACACACCCCCTGGCAGCAATCATTACCAAAACACAGACAAACCAAAGTAACCAGCCAGCCCCCCCACTGAAAGAAAAGATCTAAGACACGGGAGTCCCACTTGAGAGCCAAAGGACATGCCCTGTCATGGTCTGTGTGTGGCCCGTGTTCATATTAGTGAACATGACTTACTGCTTTATTTATTTATATTTCTTTTCAGGGAGCTTTCCCCGTTTTCTCCTTCTTTGTGCCCCAGGTCATCCCACCTCTGCTGTTCCCTTCATCCTCAGTGTCATTGTAACCAGCCGGTCTCTCCCATCATTGGGAAGGCGATGTAACGGTATTTCATACGTGCCCTCCCCCATGTGTGTGTGCGTGTACCTGAGCTGTTCGGATCCAGAGGTCACTCTGGTGACAGCGTGGACACACCCAGTCTTCCTCCCACTTCCTGCACGCGCACTCTCATTTCTTCGGTTGATCTCTCTGGGCTTTAGAGGTGCACCCACTGCTCTCACACGGTGCCAGCATCTGTTTCTGGCTGTTTCCAGAACGGGGATGACCCCCATTGTCATCATGTTGGGCGCTTCTTCTAGAGATTGGCCTGCGATGGAAAGGAAGGCTTCTGATTATTGGAAAACACAACAGAAGACCCAGACTCCTCCTGTCCCTCTCTGTCCCTACACTGTCCTTGAAGGAACCCCCTCAGACAGCCAGTCTTCTTAAAAGCAAAGTACCTTCTCCCTACCCTCACCCCCACCCCGGCCAATAGAACTTGGAAAATCTGGGCCATTTTAGGGTTCCCATTTTTTCCTTATTTGTGCCAATGTCCAAGTTGCAGATTTCCCCTTTTTCCTGTATTGTAACATATTAGAAGGATAAGTTGGTATTGCCAGTTGGAACTTTCTGTTTGGGCAGCCCTGGGGTAACACCCTGCCCTGAACCCCATGATTCATAGGCTCTTCTCTTAGGACTCATGCTCCCCTCATTCCTAGCAAGACTTAAAGATGGTCCCTCTTAATCAAATTCTTCTCATTGTGGAACTCTCTACCTGGAAACCTTCACGTAGGCTACTAATTAATTATGCCAATCAGTGGAATTCTTAAAAGATAAACTTCATGTACATTTGTCACCTCCCTTTCTTCCCTATCCTGCCCTGCTACCCCAGCCCCCGCCTTTCTAAATACCATCTCAAAGGGTCTTTCAAGCCCTAACACTTGTCTAGCAAACGGAGAGCCTAATTCACCAAAATGAAACTTGTAAATTTTTGTGTCCTTGTATGTAAGTTTACTTTCTATGGAGGAAAGATTCTAGATAATGACAAATGAAGATTACGAAAATGTATTTTACTCCTGTGATTATAGATTATGCGCACATGGGTCCTAACTCGCATGTCGAGCCCCCTCTGGCGAAGGGTAAGAGAGCTCCACCTTGGACGGCCAACTTTCAGTTGTTCAGGTTCATTAGTCAAGGTTAAGTTTTAGAACTACTTGTACTCAGTAACAAAAATCATCTTCTTTTTTTTTTTTTCCTGTTGTTGTTGTGGAAAAGTGTGCATTTGTTATTAAGCATTTGATTTTCTGTGTCCTTAAATACTGCCTAAAGATAAAGCAAATTTTAAACTGGCAATTACGAAAAAGAACTATTTTAGCTCTGAAGAATTTAGTAGATTTTGTTAGATTAGGGAGGCCTTACAGACTGACTTGACTTATAGAGGACGCGTCACTCACTGTCAGTGTGGTGTGGGCTTTATTTGCTTAAATACCTTCATTTGTATAGTATGTCTCACTTGAAATTGCTTTGTATACATTTTGTAAAAATATTTATAAAATGTTTTGTAAAAAAAAAGTATAACAAATTGCAGTTTATTTTGTTATGTTGGATAAATACTGTTAAAAGAAACCAGTCAGTAACTATATTGTTAATCCATGGTTAGGAAATGTTTAGTTGGAGATTACGAAATGAAACAACCATTGCAATACAGCCAAAGATTTGGGAAAATGTGCAACTGTGATTGTCTTGATTTTGCAAATAGGAATGGCTCTTTCTCCAGAAGAAAAGGGTAAGTAAGTGTTCAGTGGGAGTTCAACTGAAATAGATTTACCATTCCCAAACAGGAACCTAAACTAGTGAGGGGATAGGATTGTAATTGATCGGCCTTTCCAAATGGTTTCCAACTCAACAGGGTTGGTCGGTGAGAAAGTTTAGTCATGTACATCTCTGGCCTCCATCCCTACTCTTGTCACGTGGGTCCTTAACTGAGGAAGGAAAAATGGGGTCATTTGAGAAGTTACATAAATGAGCCTCAATCTGCAGGAGGTTTTCTTCAATCATATTTCTTTTGTTTCAGTGAAGGACAAGAAGGCTAAGGGATAGGGCCGGAAAACTATTTTACGTAAGACTTATGCCAGAATTAACATGTTTCTCTCTGGATTCACACATTTGATCCACTGAGAAATACCTCTGTAACCTTAGCTGTAAAGTCAGCCCCCTGAGGCCCTTCTGAGTTCTTGCCCTCACAAGTGGGACTCTGCCCAAATTGTTAGGGAAACCACCATAGGGTGAAATGTATTTCTCGGGGTGAAGGTAGAAGGCTCCTTAAATTTTTCTTTGGGGCCTAGGATTCACACTTAATTCCTTATGGTTTAATTTTGCCGCCTTCACGTGCGCACGCGTGCGTGCGCACACACACACACACACCCTTAAAGCAGTAGTAGTTAGGAAATCAAGATTCTGCGGTAATCAATATATATACAAGAAGTTGTTCTCCTAGAACTAACAGCAGTCAGAATCATTACTGCTAGAATAGTTGCATCACTCAATGCATCCCTTAATGTCTTCTGCAGTGTTGCCCTGATATCAAGATTCTCTTGCTAAGGACAAATATGTGCCCAACATGACATTCCTTCCCCTCCCCCTTCAGGCCATTTGCAATGGGAGTGCCCCATGAATGAAGAAGGCAGGATGATCTGGCTGCTTGATTAGGATCTGTCTCTGTTCCCCAGGGGAATGCCCAGAGGGAAGACCAGGCATCTTCTCTAAGGACGGTTAAAGCCTTCAATCCTGTGTATGGGGGCTGGGTTCTAGGAAGGGGGCCAGTGGATTATTTGGGGGCAAAGAGAAAAGAAAGAAACCACAGTCTGGGGGCACTGAAACAGCACTGCTCAGGCAAGACTCTGGCCGTGCTGTCCCCCCAGGGGCTAGCCGGTTTCACGCTCTGACTCTGCTTTAGCCTTGTGTATGTTCTCTGAGACACAGGCAGGGCTCCTGGGTATCCACTTGCAGGTGGAGAGCATCAGCCACCATACGTTGCTTGAGCAGTTGACAGGCACTGGGCTGGGCACTGGGGATACATGGATAATTCAGGTCTGACCTACTCTCAAGGAGCTTGCAACCTAGAGAGGAAACAAGCACACAAATAATTGCATTACATTTGGGAATTGACTGGAGTTCAGGAGAGAAGAAACTAGGGCTAAAATTCTTTCCAGCCTACCACTTCAGTAGAGTTGCAGTGTATATTCCAATGTCCTGCTTCTTTTTTTTTTTTTTAATTTTATTTTTTAAAGATTTTATTTGTTTATTTGAGACAGAGAGAATGAGAGACAGAGAGCATGAGAGGGAGGAGGGTCAGAGGGAGAAGCAGACCCCCCGCTGAGCAGGGAGCCCGATGCGGGACTCGATCCCGGGACTCCAGGATCATGACCTGAGCCGAAGGCAGTCGCTTAACCAACTGAGCCACCCAGGCGCCCCACTGTCCTGCTTCTTGGTACACCCTGAGTTACATCTGAGAAAAAGGTATTGTGCTTTGTGCAGGAATAAAGGTAAAGGCACTTTGTAATCATAGGGTTAAATATGTGGAGAACTCTGGTTCACACAAATGGGAGGAGCACCTTTGTAGTCTAAAGTGGATTCTGTAATATGGATAGCCTGGGTCTGTGTTGCTGCCCATAAAAGGCCCTGAAGCCCTAATCTACATTTCCCATGGGCATGTGCTGGAGCCTGGCCTTTGAACACACTTGCAAAGGCAAGAAGATCCTCAGGGGAAAAAAAAAAAAATCACTTCTGTGAAGGTCGGGGGAGGCAGTACAACAGGGTGGGCAGAAAGTGCCTTTGGCAGCAGAACCTAGAAATGGGTTCTAGGACCTTGTCTAACACGTAGAGATCTCAGCGTAAGTTCCTCTCAGCCTCAACTTCTTTGCCTATAAACTAGGAAGATTTGTCCTGGCCCTCTAACTCCTTACGGTGTAAAATGAGGTGTTACTGAAGAAGTGGGAAAGGTGGAAGAAGCGAAGTGCCATTATCCCTGAAATAATTCAGGGGCGGTTTGGGTTTTTCTGTTTTGCCTTTGGTCATACCTCCTGCACACTGTCTGCTTCCTACTCTAGGTTTCCTGGGTCCAGCCTGGCCCCTCAAAAGTGGCTGCCCTTCACAGGTTCTCTCCTTTTTCCTTCACACGTTTGCCCCCTTATGCTTGTCTTTCATCAGGATCAAAAGCTGTTGGCCACGTTGTCTCCCCCAACTCTAGGCTCATCTGGCTGCTTTCACACTAATCTCTTTCCCACCTGATTCCTGGTAACCCCATGTCACTCGCTGAGGAAGCAACAAGGAAAACTTGAAACAAAACAAAGTCAACTTCAAGAAGGCTCATTATCCAAGAGGTCTGGGACCGATGGGAAATTGCAGATGGAACCCCCTTTTGGGTGCTGTGGGTGTGGTGGTTTTGCCTCACTGAGAAAGCACTGCTCAATTTATCTCCTAAATGATTCCAAATAATGCCAAAGTGCAGACAGTACAGAAGTAACTTGTTGTGGAATATGCTAGGAAAGGAACCCTGGAGTCAGGCCAGAGAGCCACAGAATGTCCTGAAAGGACTCTTAAAAAAAGAGTCTAGTGGTTTCTAAAACAGGCAAATCAAAATAATAAACAAAAACAGGCAAATCAAAATAATAAACAGGCAAATCACAAGAATATAATTACCTAGACAGTTTTTTCTTTTTTCTTTTTAATTTTCTTATTTGAGAGAGAGAGCAAGAGAGCACAAGCAGGGGGAATGGCAGAGGGAGAGGGAGAAGCAGTCTCCCCGCTGAGCAGGGAGCCGGATGCAGGGCTCCATCCCGGGACCCTGAGATCATGACCTGAGCCAAAGGCAGATGCTTAACCGACTGAACCACCCAGGCACCCGGACAGTTTTTTTCTTAAACCAATACACACGGGATAAATGAAAAACATAGCACAAAATGTAAGTCTTCCTAATTCAGGCCCCACTCCCATTTCCCAAAAATAACCCCCATCAACACTTTCTTGTATATACTTCCAAAATTGTTACATATAAATACATCTATAGCCAAAAAACAAAAACCACAAAACAACCAGGGACCACTCTTTTACACCCTATTCTGTATCTTGCTTTTTCAAATGTAACCAAGTATCATGGAGTATTATAGCCTGGTTGCAAGCAACAGAAAATGATCTGCTTGGTTGACCAGCATAATGGAGTTTTATAGAAAAGGTAAGGATTGAAGGGAAGATTGAAGAACCACTAGGTTTGAAAAAGACAGGAACAAGGAAACTTCGTAGGTCTTCGTAGGTAGAAATTCTTAAAAGTCTTGCCCCAAACCTCCAATGTTTCTTCCATCGTCACCCTGCTCAAGATTCAAAACCCAGAGGGGAGAAGTTTTTTGTTTTTTTAAGATTATTTATTTATTTGAGAGAGAGAGGGGGGGAGAAACAGCTTGAACAGGGGGAAGAGCACAGGGAGAGGGAGAGAATCTCCAGCAGGCTCCCCGATGAGTGTGGAGCCCGACGTGGGGCTCAATCCCACGACCCTGAGATCATACCTGAGCCAAAACCAATAGACAAGTCAGACGTTAAAATGACTGAGCTACCCAGGCGCCCCCACACCCAGAGGAGAGAAGTTTATAGCATCTCATGCCCCCTCCCACTGGAGAGATGGAAGGAGTTGAAAAGATCTTCCAGAGACCCCTTCAACTTATGTATTGGGAGGACAAACATTTAGATTTGATAACCCTACTCCACTCCAATAATGTACATGATGAAGGAGAGACCAGTCTACAAGAGAAATAGGATACTGTTAGGAAATGGAAATGGAGATCAGCAGGCCAAAAAATAAATACCATTAAGATTTCAGGACGTGAAAACCTACCTCATTGCATATAATTGCATTGTCTTCCATAATTTATTTAACCATGCCCTCGTGATGGACAACTAAAGCAGTCAAGAAAAAAGAAGCCTATGACAACAGGCTAAAAGAATAAGATTCTCGGGGCACCTGGGTGGTTCAGGCGGTTAAGCATCCGACTCTTGGTTTCAGCTCAGGTCATGATCTCAGGGTGGTAAGATCAAGCCTGTGTGGGGCTCTGCGCTCAGCAGGGAGTCTGCTTAAGAGTCTCTGCCTCTCCCTCTCCCCCTTCCCCTGCTCTCTCTCCCTCTCTCTAAAATAAATAAAATCTTTAAAAAAAAAAAAAAAAAGAGGGGCACCTGGGTGGCTCAGTCAGTTGGGCATTTGACTCTTGATTTCAGCCCAGGTCTTGATTGCAGGGTTGTGGGATTGAGCCCCGTGTGTGGCTCCGCCCTCAGTGCAGAGTCAGCTTGTTCTTCTCCCTCTGCTCCGCCCCCTGCTCTTGCACACGCACTTTCTCTCTCTCTAAAATAAATAAATAAAGGGAGCCTGGGTGGCTCAGTTGGTTAAGCGACTGCCTTCGGCTCAGGTCATGATCCTGGAGTCCCTGGATGGAGTCCTGCATCGGGCTCCCTGCTCCGCAGGGAGTCTGCTTCTCCCTCTGACCCTCCCTGCTCTCATGTGCTCTCTCTCATTCTCTCTCTCAAATAAATAAATATTTTAAAAAATAAATAAATAAAATGAATAAATAAAATCTTAAAAAAAAAATTCTTGAGGCTGTAAACGACCATTCCTCATTCTCACTCACTATCCTCACTTTGAAATAAAAAGTCTTGTATCTTGCCTAGTGCTGGAGCATATGGTCAATGCTCAGTAAACAACATGTATTCAGTTAGTGAATAATTTGGGGTTGAAGAGGTCTCAATGTCTTTTCCTCTGGATCTTTGTAGAATGATGGCTTGGGCACTGAGAATAAGTACTCTCCTAGCACCATCTGCTGGCATTGGAAAACCTTTCCTGAATCATGGCCTCCAAGTCTCTTTCGGCCCGTATTGTTAATAGCCCTGAAATTCTTGGGGGGAAAAAAATAGCCCTGAAACTCCTCCTCTTCTTAATACCTTCAGTACCGCAGAACTTACCTTTTATCTGTACATAGATACAGTTACAAAACAGTGACTTATTTTTGTTCCTTGTTTACTAAGAACTGTTTTACACTTTGGTGATCCTTGTTTTTGCCTTTTTACAAAGTCAGACACATGTGAGACACTGAGTGAGTGAGAAGGAGCCTCACACCAGTCTTTGACTCCAAAGACTGTTGTCCTTTGACGTTTATTCATCAGGTAATGAGCTCTGTGTATGTCACTATCTTTCTGGTTGGACTAGTTACATAGCACATACCGATATGATGCTTTGAGCTTATTTTTAAAAGCCCCTGTAGGTGCCCACTACTGTGACAGGAGCTGTAGAAGACAAAGAAGTATGAGATAAGTTCCCTGCCTTCGGAGCACCCAATCTAATCAGGGAAGCAGTAAGTCAAACAGCACAGGATAAAGTCTGTGGTGATGCCTGTAAGTGCCCAGTGCCGAGTAATGACACTGGAATACATACTGTGCTATATATATATGGCACTAGACATCCAAAGCCTGGAGACATTTTTGTTTGTCACATCTGGGGTGGGGGTGTTACTGGCATGTAGTTGATAGAAGCCTAGGATGATGCTAAACATATCACGATGCACAGGACGGCCCCCCCTAATAAAGAATCATCTGGCCCCAAAAAGCCAATAGCGCTGCGATTGAGAAACCTGCGCTAGACCTTTAGCAACTGCCATGAGGGAGGCAGGCATGGTCCCTGCCCTCCTAGTATCATGAAGAAATGTTAAAAATATAATAATACTGTGTTGAAGGAATTCAAAGAAAGGAAAGAGACTACTCTAGAGTCTTGTTAAAGTACAATCCACAGACCTGAAACAGGGCATCACTTTGAAGCATGCTAAAAAAGCGGAATATCACCCCCCACCCCCAACCCCCCACTGAATGAAAATCTGCATTTTTAACAAGACCCTCAGGTGTCTACTATGCGTATTAGTGCTGGAGACAGCGCTGCACTGGCAGGTTTCCAGAAGACAGGACGTGGGTTATTTTTCATTGTTTTATGAAGCAGGAAAGAAGGAAGCAAATTCCAGGTGGTGAGAGCTACATGAGGGAAGATTCTGAGATGGCGACGGGGAATTTCTGGTTTTCGATCCAGCACTAATAACTAACATAGTGTTGCCTGCTTACAGTCAGACATTGTGCTTTATACGAAATATTCCACACAGAACTCGTAACACTATTGGGCAGGTCCATTTTAGGGGTAAAGCAAACCAAGGTACAGCGGGGTTAAATAACTTGCTCCGGGACCCACTGACCGAGCCGGGCTGATGGAATCGAAGCTGCATTCTCTCCCACCCGAAGTCCTCCACAAACACCTCCACCCACACGTGAGAGCCAAGGTCGAGGCCCCAGCTCTCTCCACCCAGCGAAAAGCCAATCACACCAGCCAGTCTTCTTCCCGCACTCGCGCCGCGGAAGGGAAGCCGGAAGAGCGGCGCGCCCTCCACACCGGAAGTCGTAGGCGCAACGTGGGAAGCGTCTTCATAAGCCCCGCCACCGGCGTTAAACGAATACAGCGTAAAGGAAGGGGGCGGGATTTTGAGAATGACGCAGACCCTCAAGTGCTTGAAGGCAGTGCGAAGAACGTTTTGTGCCTTGGCAGGAATCTGTGTTAGCGAGACCGCAGCCGTTCACTGCAGCTCGCTGGGCGCTGGCTGTCGGGGAGGTACACCGGGAGCTAGACGACACATCTCTATGGTCAAGTAAACATAGAGCGGGCCTCTCTTCCCCCACGTGGTGGGCCTGCGCATGAGCAGTAGCCGCAGCTTCGGAAACATGGCGGAGGAAGAGTGAGTGTTTGGGCTTTGACTCTCTGGAGTGGGGTCTTGAGCATCTGGTGCCATCCACAGTGTGTACTCCTCAGCGGCGGGAAATCGGCTACTTGTGGACTGAAGGAAGAGACTAGAAAAGACTCCAGGTTACAGAGGGTGGGATGAGGAGGAGGGAGCCAGCCGTAGGGTTCGGGCTGACGGTCAGACGGAGGGAGCCGCCGTCAAGTTCGGGTTACCCCGAGCGGCGAAGAGTGCGTTTCTGGCGGCGGGTTGAAGAGTGCCAGACTTGGGTTCGCTCAGCCTGACTTAAGTATTGCTCCTGCCGATGGGACTGCACCCGTCCCAACCCGACGGAGTTTTACTGGAATCCCGTAGCTGCTAGTGTCTTTAAAAGGCTGTGGCGGTAAACGCTCCATGGAGGCATACGAGGGCCAGTGGCCAAGGGGTTCATGACTTCTTACTGCTTTAGGAAAGGGTGAATGTTAAGGGGTCCATTTTGAGGACTGGAGTCAGAAACCACAGGTTTCAGGGAAGTCTTTCTTTAGGAATTTGAAGAGAGTGATGTTTCTCAGGCCCAGAGATGGATTAGAAATTCATTGAGATTTGTTTTTTAAACATATAGCTGATTGCACTTCTCTCTATCAGGCAAAGAAAAAAGATCCCATTGGTTCCAGAAAATCTCCTGAAAAAGAGGAAGGCTTATCAGGCCCTTAAAGCCACTCAAGCAAAGCAGGCACTTTTGGACAAGAGGGAGGTAATGATGGGGAACCAAGAGAAGGGAATTAGAATGTGTATTTGGTGAGTTATATCTAACGTGTTGAACTAGATTTGGTATTGACAGTCCTTTCCCCATAGATTCTAACAGGTATACGGTTCATGTCTTCCTTTAACAGGTATTTATAAAACACTTTGTGCAGGGAAGATACTGGAGTGGAGTTTGTTAAGGAAAAAGTGGAGTAGAGATTGTACTATTTATTTAGGTTCATACCAAGTGATTTGATAGACCACACATGCTTGTGTACCTGGAAGAATACATATATATATATATATATATATATATTTTTTTTTTTTTTTAACATGCCAGACAATTTTTGCTATTTGCTAAACGTTTTTGGAAAATACATTATTTTGGAGTCAGGAAAATGAAACAAGCTCATGCTTATTCTGTACTTTATGATGCTTAACTCAATGTTAGGTTCCATAAACGTGTTGGTAAATGTTGACTAACAGCATGGAAACTAACTTGTTTATTCATCAGAGGCTTTTTCTAGTGGTTTCTGAGTTTTCACAACTCCACCTTTATTTGGGTGTCTCATTTTTCCCTTATATAGGAGATGTGCTTCCGTTTGCGGAACACAGTGGGAAATACACTCAGTTGATAGTGACTAATGAATTACTATTGTAGAAATAAAAAATAGAGGCACAAAAATGGTGACAATGGTCTGCCTTCTCTGTAGCAGAAGAAAGGAAAACAGCTCAAGTTCAAGCGACTGGAATGGTTTCTACATGACTCCTGGCGGCAGCAACGTGACAGGGTGCGCCTCAGACGACTAGAAGTGAAACCTCGTGGCCTGGAAGTGCCAGATAAACATTCCTTGGCCTTTGTTGTCCGCATCCAAAGGTGGGGAGCTTGCTAGATTCCATAGGCTGGAGCAGACTATTGATTCAGCTTTAGACCCTTTCTAGGGAGATGAACTGCAATAGGCTTTAAGCCACTAAGGCAAGTTGTGCTGGGAATTCAGGGTTGAGCACAACATAGTTTTCTTTTTTCTTTTTTTTTTTTTTTAAGATTTTATGTATTTATTTGACAGCGAGAGAGGGAACACAAGCAGGGGGAGTGGGAGAGGGAGAAGCAGGCTTCCCGCCGAGCAGGGAGCCCGACGCAGGGCTCGATCCCAGGACCCTGGGTTCATGACCTGAGCCGAAGGCAGACGCTTAACGACTGAGCCACCCAGGCGCCCCCACAACATAGTATTCATCTTTAAGGTTAAGGGGACTGACGTTAGGCAGACAGACATGAAAATATACCCAGTGCTATGAGGGTCGTCTCCTGCTGGGGCTATACTGGTTCAGGACACTCTCTAAAGAGGAACTGGAAGCTGAGACCTGCACACATGGAAGGAATTCACGAGTGTTAGGGGAAGGCTTTCCAGGCAGAGATGCAGAAAGTCCTGAATTGGGAGAACCAAGGAGTCTTTTTTGTTTTCTTTTTTTAAGATTTTATTTATTTACTTATTTATTTGACAGAGAGAGACAGCATGAGCAGGGGAGAGGGGTAGAGGGAGAAGCAGACTCCCTCCCCCACTAAGCAGACAGCCCTACACGGGGCTCAGTCTCAGGACTCTGGGATCATGACCTGAATCCAAGGCAGACGCTTTATGACTGAGCCACCCAGGCGCCCCTCAAGGAGTCTGTCTAGGAACTGAACCAAGGTCAAGTAGATGGAGCATATTCAGTGCTGGAGAGAGTTCATAAAGCTTTTTCCTCATTTAGTTGTATTTTACCAGGTCTATCTGCATATACAGCCGCCTCTTCCTATTTCCTGTAGCCAGTCACCCAAACCAGAAACCTGTGGGCTTTAAATATTTTTGAGCCCTCATTATTAACCTTCCTACCACTTACCGTAATTTCTTTCCTGGACTAGCGCATTAGCTTCCTAACTGGGTTTCCCTGCCTTTGGTGTCACACTTTCAGATCTGTCCTATATGCTCTTCTCAGTGATTGTCAGAAAGAAAGCGGATTGTGTCTCCTTTACCTAAAATCTTTTGGGCTTAGTGCCCACAGGAGCAAGTGCAGCTTCTTTTGCTTGATATGCACAGACCCGCACCCACACTCCCCCACCCCACCCCCCCACACACAGAATCAGGGCCCATGTCTGTGTTCCTGTAGCGTCAGGCATTGCTCCACATCGTGTGAGAGTGATCTGTGTATATACAGCTGCCACCTGCTGACCTGACACTGTCCGTGTCTTGCTCTCTGGCCGCCTTGTAGTGGCAGACATTTCGTAGGTGCTTGCTGGACTGACATAAAGTGGACAAAGCCTGACTTCCCTGCTGTTCATTTCAGGATTAATGGGGTGAGTTCACTGGTGCAGAGGACCATGGCAAGGCTTCGCCTGAAGAAGATTTTCAGTGGTGTTTTTTTCAGAGTGACCCCCCAGACCATAAAAACGCTGCGTGTAGTGGAACCTTACGTGACCTGGGGGTGAGTAAGGTTTGTGTGGGTGTGGATTCGTATTAGATTGTATTTGAGCACGGTGAGAACATTAGGATGCACAGGGTGCTGTTCTCCAAGGTAACGAGCTTGTGTTGCTGTATGTTGAAGAAACATTTTGTTGTGACCGCAGTCACCAGAAATCGGCTGCCAGCCGTGGAACCTTGGACCACGGGGCAGGTGGAGCAGGAGGTGTCCATGCTGCTGCTCACGTACCACGAACAGTACCCTGAAGGGCTCGTTCGCTCGCAGGCTGAGGCTGAGTAAGGGGTAGAAGAGAAATTAATTCTCAGAGTCTTGAAGCAGAGCTAGGGGCTGTGCTTGTGTAAGAGGAGTGTTCCTTCAAACGGGAAAACCCAGCAGAGGCCGGGATTTAATTTCAGACTCTGGCACCATCTTGGGTAGAGGGTCATATTAGGTCAGAGTCCTGAACTGTAAACCAGCCCTTGTTTTATTTTTGCCTGGAAAAGTAAAATTCTTTTTTGCATGGTGAATGTTTATAGCCGTACATTGTAATTTCTAATTACATAGGGCCACTCTGGTTTTCTACCCCCTTCTTCACTTGTGTACTTCCAAGCATCCCGGCTGCAGTGTGATTGGTAGGAGATTCCTTGGTGGGAAGAAGGGGTAATGGGAGAATCTCTCCTCAGGCAGGCCGCGGGACTGAGTGGCCAGTGTCATGCAGTGTGCCAGGGGCTAATAAGGCTGTACCTCATTCGGTCTCACATAGATTTCCAAATCTGAAGTCTGTCCGGGAGCTCATCTTGAAACGTGGACAAGCCAAGGTCAAGAATAAAACCATCCCTTTGACGGACAACACAGTGATTGAGGAGCACCTGGGTGAGTGTTGCCCCTTAGGGGTCAGTTGGGGCAGAAAGCAAGGATCTCTGGTGGTCTTGATGTGGGATCTAGGTCGTATTCTTCTTCTTGGGGTCCCTAGAACCTACCAGAGTGCCCAGCTCTGGCATGTAAGAGCCTCATAGTTTATACTGGGCCAAATGTTGAATGAAGGAATCTGTACCCTTACGTTTCCCAGGGAAGTATGGTGTTATTTGCTTGGAAGACCTCATTCATGAAATCGCCTTTCCGGGGAAGAATTTCCAGGAGATCTCTGCATTCTTACGTCCTTTCCATCTCTCAGTGGCCCGTCATGCTACCAAGAATAGAGTGGGCTTCCTCAAGGAAGTGGGCTTACCTGGCTATCGAGGTGAACGCATCAATCAGCTCATTCGGCAGCTGAATTAAACCCAGGTGAGGCTGGAAACTGCCCTGGGGCTGACTTTTGATGGGCCATGCCTTGCCATTCGTTTTGCATTTATCAGTATCTGAGAGTAGCTCTGGCATTGTGCGGGAGAGGGGAGACGGGTAGCTACAGGTCCAACAGAAATGTGCTTAGGACAGTGAATGCCTGGTTAGGACATGGGGCTGTGTGTATTCCAACAGTTACAGGCTAGAAAATGTTGAGTAGCAAAAAAATCCATAGTGCTGTGGTCATTTACCTAGAAATGGGGAGAGAATGTTAAAAACCAATTTCAAAAAGGACGTGAAGATCTAAACCATTTATTTGTTGAAAGTATCTTAACTTTTTGAAATTGCTTATTATTACTCTGAAGTGCCACCTTTCATTAAACTTCTATTCATGAACTTTTTCTTCCTCAGAATATCTGAAAGCACAGCGCATTGGTGGCATGTGTTTTGTCTTTTGGAATGGTTACCGGTATCTTCGAAGAAGATTATTTTCTCTTGTATCTTCAGAAACTAGAGAGAGGGTCAAGGAAAAGATGATGATGCTCCTGGCAAGCACTTGTCATCACAGCCCAGTTCCAAGGGAAAGTTCCAGTGTGTTTTCCACATTAGCTGCCCCTACCTCCTCTGAAGTCAGCGGAGGACTCCTGCCACGGAAGAGGGAGTCCTGCTGTGTCGCATCGTCTATCTTGGGGTTTAAAGTTGGTGAACGAATACCCAAGCATGAATACAAGACAGCAGTGGACCAAGTGCAGGGACGTACTTAAACCTGGGGGCTCCAGGGGCCTTGTTTTGGAAGGAACTTGAAATATAATTACAAAGAAGAGCACAAAAACAGTGCTCAGTTGTCTCTGCCGTGAGTCCATGTTCTCACTCTTCAGTGACAGCTTTGCAAGTTCTCAGACTTGGCTGGCGCTGATGTGTATCTGGTGGCTTCCTTAGCCTAGCCTGCGATTGGCTTAGTCCTTTTCTTGAGCTCGGGATCTTAACTTACTCTTGGGTCTGTGAGAAGGGAAGGACCCTTTTCCCAGGAAAATACACTCAAATTTTTGCTTGGAAGTTTCTCTGTTCATAGGCTTTTCTTAGGGACTCATGTACCTTATGTGAGGAAGTCCTGCACTACCTGGATTGGTCACCTGGGCCCTGACCTTGTTAGTCTCCTCTGGTCCCTTATCCTTTGGAAGACCAAAGTTTACCAAGATAGCTTTTTCCCTTGGAGCCAATTGGGTGTTTCCTGTTAGGAACGGAGTGGTAGATTCCTGAGTCCCCGGTACCATCTGGGAAATGCCCACCATTTATTTCTGCTGGGCTTCAGGATGGGATTTTCTTGGTTTGGCATGGATGAAATTAGTACTGTTAGGTCTTTTTAGGCTCCACGAAGGCTTAATTGGACCCTCTCCTCGCATAGTCTGTCCTCCGAAAGTATTGCTGTCTGCCCCACTGGTAACAATGTTAGTAGACCAACACTGGGGCTTCCAGGGACCTGAGACCTAAAAAGGGATCTGATCCTGCTTGTGTTTATCATCTGTGCCCCCGTCCTAGGTGGGCCTTCCTCTGCTCCTGTCACTATGTTGCCTCAGTTGCCATCTGAGTAGTTGGTGAGGATGTGCCAGGTACAGGTTAAGACTTGAAAACATGCTTAACCGTTGTGCGCCCTGCTCCCTTCAGCTCAGCTCTGCGGCACTTCTGGCTCATGGGGCCCTCAAACATAGCTGTGAGGTCGAGTTAGAAGTAGAACAACGCCTTACAACGTGCCAGGTTGGGGGGTAATTAATCAGGTTTGGTTGGCTTAAGAGTTCACCTGCCAGGAATAGATGTTAGAGCTTACACTTAAACTTTAAAGCATTGTGAAATCGAATTACTTGAAAATGACGTTATCAGAAAGCCATGGGAAAAGAGCATTTGTGAGTGCCTAAGCCCAGGGTTTCTATTGTGGATCTGTTTTATACTAAATACAGGAATAATGTTCCCATTCTTGCCTGCAGAATGGGGCTATCTAGGCTAACCTGTGTGCCTAACTCAACACAGTTGTTCAAAGGATTAAGCAAAAGAACAGTTTTTAACTTAGAATTTAATGGAAATAAATAAGTTATAAAAATTAATGTTCTGCTTTATCGTGTACTATGGTGCACCATTCCCTAAACAAGTTGTGGACTTTCACCATTTCTGGGAAAAACGAGTTCTTATCGTATGATCTGTAGATGTGTATTTATGTGAATTGTTCATGGCCATCAATGTATATTCCTGTCAACACATACCATATGTATGTGGAAAACAGAAACCTCACTTTCGGGAAGCAAGAGTAGGGGCAATGAGCCACGTGGCCTATTTAAAGAGACAAACTTAAGGGGCGCCTGGGTGGCTTAGTTGGTTAAGCGACTGCCTTCTATTCAGGTCATGATCCTGGGGTCCTGGGATAGCCCCACATCGGGCTCCCTGCTCCGCGGGAAGCCTGCTTCTCCCTCTCCCACTCCCCCTGCTTGTGTTCCCCCTCAGGCTGTCTCCCTCTCTCTCTGTCAATTAAATAAATAAATAAAATCTTAAAAAAAAAAATAGAGACAAACTTAAAGTGGTTGTAGGAGCTTTTCCTCTGTTCTAAAACTTAAAGCCTGACCCAACTAGTTCCCAGAGATTTTGTTGTTGGCTTTTTTAATGCTTTGGGATTTTCCTGGTTTAATGGGACTCTGAAGTCATTCTGGGGCCCAGTGTAATCATCAAACTGTGTATGATTAGCTGCTGACCTGGAGAGTGGCTAAAATCAACACCACTTTGGACCCCAAATTCATTTCCACAACCACCAGAATAAGCTGAACTGGGGAGATAAACACTGACGTTCTCATACATTACTAACGAAATTGTTCCCAGTGGGTTGGACACCGTTAGTGTGTCCTCAGTATTTTGAAAACGAAAACACATTGAATCTCAGTAAAGGATGAGGTTTGCCAAATATCTATAAGGACTGAAACAGGATTAGAAAAAACATTTTTTTAATGAGGACTATGGTCCAGAAATACGGATACAAGATAACCCTGACGACGCTCCCAGGAGGCTTAAGTCCAGCTGAGACCCGTCGGGGCAAATGCACAAAGGATGAATAACGGTGGCCAGTATCCGGGGTGCGAGTTGATGCGGGACACAGTCACGCCTTCCAGGTCTAAGAGGCAAAGGACCTCGAGCCTCAGGAACCCACTCCGTGCCATCAGGAAGGCGCAGTTCCGGCCTCCGCCGCGCGGGGCCCCTCCACGCGGTTCTACCGGTACCCGAGGGTCGGCGGCTTCTAGGGCGGCGGCGCGGGGGCCTCGGCCGATCCCGCGGCCTCCCAGGGCTTGGGCCTCGGCGGGAGCCGGGACGCCGTGGGTTCGCCGTGGGTCGCCGCGATGTGGCGCCTCTCCACGCCCGGGAGCTCCCGGCCCTGCTGGACCAGCTGCAAGAGCTGCGCCAGGCTCACCGAGGCGGGGGCTGCGGGCGCGGGCGCGGGCGCGGGGTCCGGGCCCGAGCAGCTCCGACCGCCGGGCCGCTCCATGCCGGGCCGCTCAGCCTGACCCGCGTGCGGAGTAAACGCTTCCGGGTGGGGTGGGTGCAACCACCGTCGGAGGGAATGAAGGGGGGGTCGTAGAGCATACCAAGCCGGCCCAGAAAGGGGGGAGCACTTGAGAACCACGACCAGCTTCACGCAGAACCGCTTCACACACACGGCAAACAGCCCGCACCAGAGTCTGTAACGTGCAGTGCTTTAGAAGGAACTGGAAGGCTTGCGCAGAACAGGCCGTGCATGCGGACACGCTGATGCAGGCAAAAGGACCCCATTTGGCACACATGCATGGGCACCAAGTACAAAACTCTTTTCTTCTTGTTAAGATCTTTTTATAAGAGAGAGTGAGCGAAAAGGAGAAAGAGCACGAGCAGGGGGAGGGACAGAAGGAGAGGGAGAAGCAGACTCCCCGCTGAGCAGGGAGCCCCAAGCGGGCCTCCAGGGACTCTGGGTCATGACCTGAGCCAAAGCCCAAGGCAGATGCTTAACCGACTGAGCCCCCCCAGGCGCCCCTTCTTTTCTTTCTAAAGTAATCTTTTGGGGGGGCGCCTGGGGCCTCAGTGGCTTAAGCGACGGCCTTTGACTGAGGTCATGATCCCGGGGTCCTGGGTCGGGCTCTCTGCTCAGCGGGGGAGTCTGCTTCTCCCTCTGCCTCTGGCGCTCTCCCTGCTTGTGTTCTCTCTAAAAAATATAATCTTTTAAAAAAAAATTTTTTTTTAAATAAAGTCATCTGGGGAGGGGGGAGGGGGGATGGGTTAGCCCGGTGATGGGTATTAAGGAGGGCAGTATTGCATGGAGCACTGGGTGTTATACGAAAACAATGGATCATGGATTCCCTAACATCAAAAACTAATGATGTAGGGGCGCCTGGGTGGCTCAGTCGTTAAGCGTCTGCCTTCGGCTCAGATCATGATCCCAGGGTCCTGGGATGGAGCCCCCGCATCGGGCTCCCTGCTCAGCGGGGAGCCTGCTTCTCCCTCTCCCACTCCCCCTGCTTGTGTTCCCTCTCTCGCTGTGTCTCTCTCTGTCATAAATAAATAAAATCTTTTAAAAAAAAAAACAAAAACAAAAACTGGAGAGTCATCTCTTAAAAAAAAAAACTAATGATGTAGTGTATGGTGAGTAACATAACAATAAAATTGAAAAAATAAAGTCATCTCTTGGGGCTCGAACTCACCACCCCTGAGGTCAAAAGTCACATGCTCCACCCACTGAGCCAGCCAGGCACCCTGGGTACATACCTATTTTCACACCGGGCAGAAGTTCACACCTACAGGGACACATGCAGCTGTGGAGAGATTGCCCGTGGCCTCAGGAGAACCGGGAATAAGCGGCAGCACTGCAGAGCCTCGGGGCTCCCTCCCCGTCTCCTGCCAACCTGGTGTTCGTGGAGGGGATGAGAAAAGAGGAAGGCAGGCCAGGGGTGCCACAGTCGTCTGGCTGCTCACAAAGTCAGTGCCCGTAATTGTCAGGTTTCTAAGTTTATGGGAAGTTCGCCTCATCTGGCAAACACTGCCTTCACCATGTAATCGAAGTCGAATTACTGTTAACAGAACGAGCTGGCCACCTGTGTCTCCCGAGGTGCGGCAGAGAAGGGCTCTTTGGAGGCAGGAACACTACAGCCTTCGGTATTCCTGCCCAGAAGGTGCACTCTGAATCTAGTCCTGTGGAAATGAACAGACCAAGCAAAGTGAGAGACATTCTGCAAATGACTGGCCTGGACGCTTTATAAATGCCAGTGTCATAAATGTCTTGGGATGCCCACAAAGACGGTTATGGTAATTCTGATCAGATGGGTGACTATGTGGACTCTCTTCTGTGGCCCCTCCAGGTCCTCTCTCCACCCTTATCCACCCAGCTTCCTGCACCCTGGCATCCACAGACGTCGCAATGGGCTCCCTTAACCTCTGGCTTTGGGGTCTGGCTAGTGGGGACCCCAGCAGAAGAAAGAAGGAGAAGGAGGTCAGTGTATTTATTCCTCAGTTTCCCTCCCTCCACAATTCCCACTGGCGGCAGTGTCCCTCCAGAAGCTCTCTGGCTTTGGGGCCCTGCCATTGCTCCCTCCCCTCACCCCTTCAGGCCTGTTACCAGTTTCAGGTACAGCATGATCACTTGGGACATCCGGACATCCCTTCACCTGCCACACCTCTATAAATAGTCCCTTTATTAAATTCTCCTCAAATTTCCCAATATACACGTGTCCTCTGTTTCCTGTCCATACTCACCAATAACGGAATGGGCCCCCGGAACAGCCTCAGGCAGAATACTGAGCTCAGACTGATCATAAACTCAGAGAGTGCAGGGGAAGCCTCCTTGCCGAGGGGGCAATGCAGCCAGGTAATCCACTGCGTGCAGAGGCATCACCATTACCCAAATTCTCACTGGGGGTGGAAAGGGTGAAGTGGAGAATACTTCGTTGTTGCGGTAGGGAGATGGCAGGCGAAATGGCTGTGGTTCATATGGCTGAGGACTGGCACCAGGATGTCATCGTAAGGGTTGCCAAGTGGCAATGCTAAGTGTTCAGCCCTTTAGGGTAGCATAAGAGTATGCTAACACAAGGGCACTGATGGGGAAGGGGTGGGACTCTGAGATGAGACGGGGACGTTTGGGCAGACATGTAGTGCCTCTGTTTCCCTGGACATCGGCTTCAGGACTCTCTCCACCTCCAGTCTTCCCTGGCTCTTCTCAAATTAGATCCCAGAACAGCCTGGGCAGAGAAGTACGAGGCCCACGCTGAGAGCAGAAGGCCCAGACAGAAGGAATTACAGACCTTGCTGAACTGCCTTGGCAGGAGCCACAGCAGCGTGTGTGGGAATGGGTTCTCAGGGAAATAGACCCAGGAGGGTGGAATGTAAGGCTCCGTTTGGCCAAACTCAAGGCCATGGATGCTCATCCAGGATTTGGGATTTAATGTGTTGGCTCGAGCACCTGGGAGAGGCATTGATAGTCTGTGAGGTTGGTTAATTAAAGCCTGGACTTAATGGTAGCCTACAGTTAGTAAACTTGACATGCCAGAATTCCTCTGGCATACTGTAGAGGAAGGAATCCAAAATCTCAGAAAGGTGGGAATGCTGGATTAGATTTATTATGTGCAACCTGATTAGCCATCCTTCACCACATATTTTAAGGGGGTCTAGAAAACCCTCCCTTCGCCAAAGCATTCAGAAATGCTTTGGTGAGGGGTGCCTGGCTGGTTCAGTCAGTAGAGCCTGCAACCCTTGTGCTCAGAGTCGAGAGTTTGAGCCCCACGTTGGGTGTAGAGTGAAGAAGGAGAAGGAGAAGGGGAAGAAGGGGAAGAGGAAGAAGAGGAAGAAGAAGAAGAAGAAATGCATTGGTGAGAGCCACGCACATCCTTGACTTGCTCTGATGGCTGTCCTCTGTAGGCTGGAGATGCTGGAGGTAGTGCTGGATGAATCAGTGGAACCAGAGTCTACAATCTCATTGGGAATAATGGTATCCTGGTAGTGTAAAGGCCAAGTGGCGATGCTTAACAGCCAAAGGCAAGGTAGCTATACCACCTCCCATAAAGACATGGGCAATAGTGGTCATCCATTGGACAGAAAGATAGTCCTGTGGACCCTGGTCAGCCTCGTTCCCTCGGCACTGTAGGCCTTGGACAAGGGACCCATGGTAGCAGGGACAGAAGCTATGCTTTGGCTCAGTAACATAGCTTTCCCCTCTCTGAGGCTAATCGGGCTGTGGCCAGTGCTGAGTGCCCAACTTACTGACAGCCCAATGCTCGGGCCCTGATTGGGCACCATTCTCACCTGGTTGTGGACTGATCTGACTGGGCGCTCTTAGCGTGGAAGGACTGTGCTTTATCCTCATGAGAACAGACACATAGTCCAGGTATGAATTCACCTTCTCTGCCTCCATGGCTTCTGTCAGCACCACCGTTCTGCCAGCATCAGGCGTTCTGATGGACAGAATACCTTACTCATTGCCGTGGCATTCCACATAACATCACCTCCAACCAGGGCACGCATTTCATTGCCAAGGAAATGTATAAATGAGCTCACTCCCGAGGAATTCACTGGTCTTACCATGTGCCCTATGACACAAAAGGACCTGCTGAAAGCTCATCTAGGGCATACCTGAGATGCTACACCCTGCCGGATGCTGGCGCTATCCTGCCGGATGCAGTGTATTTTTGTTTTTTTTAAAGATTTTATTTATTTATTTAATTGACAGAGAGAGAGAGTGAGAGAGGGAACACAAACAGGGGGGAGTGGGAGAGGGAGAAGCAGGCCCCCCACCGAGCAGGGAGCTGGATGCGGGGCTCGATCCCAGGACCCTGGAATCATGACCCGAGCCGAAGGCAGTCGCCCAACCAACTGAGCCACCCACGCGCCCCATGGATGCAGTGTATTCTTTACACCATACCCATGCACAATCATATAGAGCCAAGAGGTAAGTAGGGGTAGTTGGAGGCTCCTCCCTATTATACCTCAAGTCTACAACCTACTGGAAGAATTTTTTACTACCCATTCCAATAATGGGATGGACTCAGGGAGCTTGGTGATCCTAGTACCCAAGGTAGAAATACTTCCACCATACAATAATCATAGTACTGATGAGTTGGAAGCTGAGATGGCCCCTGGCCATTTTGGTTTCTGCTGCTACTGATCCAATAGGCAGAGAAAGGCACCTCTGGAAAGTCTTGGTTGATTAGACCCAATTACTAGAGAAAATTAGGTTGCTCCTGCATCAGAGATGGGGCTAGATCTGGAGCCCAGGGGATTCACTGAGGTGTCTTTTCTTAGGTTAACAGGAAACTTCAGCAACCCAACAAAGTCAAGACCACCTAACGACTCAGACCCTATAGGAATAAAAGTTTGAGCCACCCACCCGGTAAAGAATCTGGTGCTGACAAAGGATAAGGAGAATGTCTCATTGGGGGTGAACGCAGGCAGGTGTGAGTTGCACTTAGGCCTTGTAACCCCCAGTTTTCCCCTGCTAACTTCAGTAAAGAACACTGGTGGTAGCCAACATTTTAGGTTTCAGTGGGAACGTGGTCAAATTGACATCCCCTCTCATTGATGCTGTAGCTGATGGGACACCATGTGTCCTCTGTGCTGGGGGCATGAATTTTTCATCTGGACAAAAGAGGTGGCTTCCCTGGGACCCTTTAGAACCACCCACCCACTGACACACACACACACACACACACACACACACACACCAGCCCTGTGCTCTGGGAAGCTGAACTGCATCAAAGGACTCTTACACCCTCCACTTGGATTCAGCCAAGGGGGGCAACAGCTGGGGGTCAGAATATGGGAGGATGCCCAAGTCAGGGAATTTATTCTCCCACTTCCCTAGCTGCTGGA